CCTGTCTGTCCTCCTGTCTGTCCTCCTGTCTGTCCCCCTGTCTGTCCTCCTGTCTGTCCTCCTGTCCTCCTGTCTGTCCCTCAGATCTCCAGAGGTCATGCTGGGCTGTCCCTTCAACGAGGCCATTGACATCTGGTCTCTGGGCTGTGTTACTGCCAAAGTGCTGTTGGGCAAAACCCCCTTCCTTGGAGGTGATGACTTTGAACTGGTCAGTGATTTTCTCTGTTCAACTTCACACACATGTTTGAAGGTCAGTGTGTGTGTGTGTGTGTTGACCCTGCTGCGTCCATCACGTCCTGGTTCTGCCCACAGATGAGGGACATCGTCGCCGTCCTTGGAAGGCCCCCGGACCACATGTTGAGTACAGGACTGTACACTCCACAGTTTTCAAAGCTGGATATTTTCCAGCTGGACTCGGCCGTGCAGTCGTCCAAGGTTTGTTCCACAGTCTTCAAATATAAAAGCCCAGTTCCGTCTGCTGTGACTCTGACCTCACACTTCGATCTTCCAGTCGTTCTGTGGAGATGAACGGAACACCAGGAACGTCACGCCCAGTGATCTGGGCCCGGTTCCGTCAGAGGTTTGTGGAGAAGACGTCGGTGACGAAAGGTTCGGTCTGATCGACCTGATCACGCAAATGCTGAGTGTAGATCCTGCGAGGAGAATCAGCCCAGAGCTGATCCTGTCTCACCCCTTCATCACTGACCAGCAGCTGGTCAACATCTCCGGGGACAACCCCAAGTACGAGTCCAGCCCGTCTCCTCTCTCTGATCTCTGTAGACGTTTGTTTGAAACCCGTGTCTTTGTTCTTCTGTCAGAGTGCAGCTGCTGATGGAGCAGCTGAGCAGGAGTCAGGGTGTGGCGCCCCCCAGTGACGACTCCTCCTATGTCACCGCCAGTCTGCCCAGCTCTGACTGCACGGAGGACAGCTGTGATTGGCTGAGTGCCAAGGAACACCCCTACCTTCTGGAGGACATCATCTACGAAGAAAGTCCAGAGACGGAACGAGGGGCGGGGGCCGAAGAGGAGTCGCTCTGTACCAGCGTGTAAGACGGATGAAGATGAAGATGAAGATGATTCTAGATGGAAACGTTGGAGACGTTCTTCATCTTAACTCTGAATTCTTAGGACGGAGGACGGCGGTGAACCAACGAGACAAACCGGTCTGCAGAGGTCAACAGGTCACCAGCGGAGAACAGATGAAGGTGACGATGACCACGGTGGTCAAAGTGTGAACTTGAAGAACATCTGTCCTGCGGAGAAGAGACGAAGAGTGGAGAAGGTGTTGGACGTCAGTGAGAGAAGTAAGGTCACACGCTGCTGAGGTCAGAGGTCAATCAAACGGTTCATCAGACTTGATTAAAAAAATAACAAAAATAAACACTTTTAAAAACAGGAATCACTCGAAGTTCTGCCAGGATCCAGTCCAGACTGAACCAGGAAGATCCTGCTGCGCCAAGGAAGAGGTCACGCAAAAGGAAGAACATCTCAGTAACCCAGGAATAGAACCGGACTGGACCGGACCGGACCGGACTGGTCTGTACTGGACTGAACCGTTTTGGACTGGACCGGACCGGACTGGTCTGTACTGAACCGTTTTGGACTGAACTGGACTGGACTGGACAGGATCTGTCTGTACTAGATTGGACCGGACCGGACTGGACGGGCGGGCGGGGGGGGTATTCATTATTTATTATTATTTATCTTCATTATTGATGAATGGACATAGACCTGAACCAGACTGACCCTCCCACCTCACTGACCCCTCCCACCTCTGGTACAGTGGGTAGTGCTCTGGCTGAATACCACCTGGGTCATGTGGTACAGGGTGGTGCAGTGACCTGTGGAGACCACAGGAGGCTCCAAACTCAAAGTATTATGTTTGAAGTACAGGTGTAGTATTTGAAGTGTAGTTTTCACATCTGTGTGTAATTTTATACAAACTGAAAATACAAAGGTTTTTATTCAAAGAGAAGCAGTTGTTTGGTTCCTCAGCAGCAGACCGTCCTGGTCCACTTCAGGACCTGGTCCACTTCAGGACCTGGTCCACTTCAGGACCTGGTCCACTTCCTGTCCACGAATGTAGAACAGTTTAAAGGATTTCTGCTGTAGCTGAGTTATCACCGACACAACTGGGCCGACCGTCCTCTAACAGTCGACTGCTCCGACACACAGATGGACCAGCTCC